TACCATGGTAACTTACGGTAACTTACCGTAATTTACCGGTAACTTACCACGGTAAGTTTACCACTAACAACCCTGGGCATGGGCATTGTTGATATTTCGAGAATTTACGATAAATATGTTAATGCAGGCCAAATATTATATTAATGCCGGCCAGGTAATTTTATCTGGGATCATATTAAAAATCCCGCGCATCACGCGCGGGATCACGCACGGATCACGCGTGTGCCCATCTCTAATGACCAATAATTTCCTGATCGACTAAACGGTCTTCCGATTAAAATTTTCTCTATGACGTATTAAACTATTGCAGCTCATTGGAATATTAAATACAATTGATTCGGAAAACCGTTTTTTTACTAATAAAAATTTGCTTCCCGACCTATTCCGATCAATCGACTAAGGCGCTTGAGAATACCCTTAGATTGCTAGGTTCACCAGAAACTTCAAGTACGTATGAATAATGGAATTTGCTTTAGCTTCTCAAAAAATTTTGCAACCCCATCAGTTTTATAATCTATGATTTGAGAATCTATTTTGTAGAAATTTGCATGTTCACATGAAAAATAACTTATAGCTAAAAGTTATAAGAGCGTATATGCTAACATATACGTAGTCCATGATCTTTCACTTGTCCAAACTAAAATTAGAACAAAGATTCTGTTGTAAAATTACAAAATAAAAAAAAAAATGTATAAATTTATTTCTTTATTTTTTAAATAAAGAGTCATACAACTTTCAAATAAAAATTAATTCGAATAGCTTAAGTACATCGATTAATAAATAATTTTAAATACATAATTAACACAAATAAAATAAAGATAATTTCAAGTACCCCACTCAATAAACTGATAACAAAATATAGGGACGTGAACTATCTTTTTTTTTCTTAAGTGACTAACCATAAAATTCGCATTCCAGTATTTTGCAACCCAAGAATCATATTATCACATAAAGACCATCTCAATTAATCATAACAATTTCAGTTAAATTAAAAGAATTATAAGTTTAAATATATCATTTTTCTTCAATAATGTGAGTCTCAATTTAATATATAAGCTCTACCAAAATCTACTTATACTCTTTTCCTAATAATTCTAACCCTAAACTCTAACTTAACTACGTATAAAAAAAAATCTAACAAAAAAGGCCCAAAAAAAATTTAAAAATCGTACATAAAATAAGCTAAATTTCTGATTTCGATCTGCCACATTTGTGTTCCACATTCTCATGCTCTCTTAAACGACCATTAAAATAAATAAATGCTTTAGTGAAGAAACAACCCTTCTAATGCTGATGGTCTAGAACCAAAATCGGCAATAGGAATAAGAAGTCCTTCGCTTTCAATTTTAGGATCAGTGAAGAAACAAATCTTCTAATGTTGATGGTCTAGAACAAAAATCAGCAATAGGAATAAGTCTCTCCCCGAACTACAACATTGGGACGCTTCTTAAATCTAATTTGTCCCATTTTTTCAAGTTGATTGCGTTGATTGTACATTGTATAGGCTACGTATATATATATGCTTGTATAAAGAACAACTTCTTTTTCATTTTTCAACTTTGGTCCAATATCGCTGGTTTTTATTACGGCGGAATTAAGGAAATTAAGCAGATATAGTGGAAAGATGGGTTAGATGTTGGATTTTGGTGCAATGATTAAAATCTTACAATTTATTTCACATTGATATATATATACATGAAATCAAATTAAATTGACTCACTGTCAGCAATCAAACTTTTTCAATTTTTAAGGTAGTTTACAAATGCGATGTAATGCTTAAAAAGAATGCTGGACTTGATCAGATAGAAATAGAATGTGACGGATTAAAATGAAATCGGATTAAGAATCATTTTTTGGGAGATTGATGGCGCATTACCCACAGCCACAATGATCTCTTTTATTTCTATTTCTCTTTTGTGAATTGAAGACATAATAGAAATAATATAATTTTAAAATTTTTAGTTCGTTCATTATAAAAAGGTACCGTTATAAAGAGAGTTGACCGTATTTAATAAGTACAGTAATTTCGGAAGTATGTAAGATTAACAAAGCTTATAAAATTTAGTCTTAAAAGCGAAACGTCCTTAACATTAAGAAATAATACTATTATTTTAAAATACGATTCATGAAAATTAGCTGCCCGATACGAAAGTATCGATCGCAGGTATATTGATTGTGAGGGACCAACATGAGGTTGGTCCAACGTGAGGTCAATTAGTATTTTTTATGATTATTAATCACTGGAACCAACCTCATGTTGGTCCCTCACATTTGTTGATCGATTTGTCGTATGTGTGATTTGTCGTATGATTTTCGTAGTTTGTTGCGTTGTTATGATGTATTGTGTGATTCGCTTCGTGATTTATTGTATGATCTTATGACATAGTGACGTCTTTTTTGCGATTAGTAATCGTTAGTAGTTTTTAAGGGGAACAGGTTTTTTCCCAGGAAAGATAATTTCTGTTTTTTCTGCTAACCCGACTTTGTCTGGTTTTTTCGTCCCGCCCTACCCAACCCAATGGTATTGAGCCGATCTTCTTTTAGATGATCCATGACCTGCCTGACGACGGTCGTCTTTGAGTTTAGCAATCGAGAGTGGCCTGGACGACAGTCACATTTTGTGTTTTGAGTGATGGAAGTGTAAGTGGCCCGTCGGGACGACGGTCATGTTTGGAGTTTGTTGTTGTAAGTGGCCTGTCGGGACGACATCACAAATTGTTTTTTATGGTAGAAGGTGGCCTGTCGAGACGAAGGATTTCTTTTGGTGATGTAAGTAGCATTAATCTAGCTCTGGTTCATGGTAAACGGCAGGGGGTTTCCGGTTTTTTTTGCCCTGTTATAACGCTTATGGAAAACAGTAGCTTAGATGACCCATCGAATTCTGTACAGATAACCCATAATTGTTTTTCGTTTTTTCTTTTGTTACACCACTCAAAAAGCCCACACTCGATTGTTCGATTGCATTGATTATATGTGATTGTACGTGATTGTATGCGATTTTTCAAAAACTAATCAAATTCGATGAATTTTTTTTTTTTTATTATTTATTTGAATTCTATAGATTCATTAAATTCAACAAAAAAAAATTCACCAAATTTGATCAGTTGGTTGCTGAGACATCATCGCTCAAAGTTGTTTAAAAATGTCAAAATATTTATCAAAAATAGAAACTGCGCCAAATTATTCCTAAGCGAAATTTTTTTTATTTGAATTTTATGAATCTATAGAATTTAAATAAAATAAAAAAAAAAGCCAAATTCGCCTATAATACAAGAATGAAAAAAATGTATTGACTCCATGAGTTCTCATTTATTTAAGCTAATATTTTACAGAACAAAATTTTAATATATCTTGTTATTACGCAGTAATCATTTTAGACTGAATTTTTCAAAATCAAGGTGGGTACAATGAATTTTCATCATAATATCAAAATAGAAGCTGCGCCAAAATTTTCCTAAAACTTTAAGCGAACAAAAAGTTTTTCTTGAGCGATTTTACTATATAACCGCCTAAACTCAAACCCTAACCTAGGGCTAACTTAAAGAATTTTTATCGTTAGTCACGTTGATGGCGATACTGCTGTACTGGGGAAGATACAAATCAGGTGAATCGGTCATCCAGATTTGCATCAACCAATCAGAAAGTGCCATGATTAAAAACTATAAATTTACGCGTCGTGCTGTTAAAAACACAACATGGCAAAAAAACTTCGCTCATTATCAATATATCGACAAACGTCGCATAGTTTATTAAAGTGGTATTGAGAGTATCCTTGATGTTTTCTTCGATTACACCGGACCGCGGCCATTTACATGAATTATATCCACATGAAAAGCTTATTGATCTACGGTCAAATTCCGACTTTATTATGCAACTTCCTCTCCTCTGGAAATTACCTGCAAGTCAAGAGCAACTTAGCAAATCAACACATGGTATTATTTGCAATATAGGTTCACGAGTGTGTTTATTTTCAATCTTTTACTAAAACATTTTTTATAAACCAGATTTTGAGATAATTGTTACGACAAGAAGGAATAAGCTAAGATGGACAGCTTTATGATTTTTTATGTGATTCGGAATTTTGCAAAATTCTCAAGCCCACTTCGTGGTGTTTTGTTGGTTAAAGGTATATATGTGTGATAATTTTATACGGTCAGTAGCGCGGGTGGGCAAGTAAGTTCTCGCACGCTTTTAAGTCATGCCGTCAAGAGCCTTCTCTTGGTCGGGGGTGGCAGTGCATCTCAGTCAGTGATTTCCTGAAGACGCAATTGTGAGGGTGTAGTCTTTAGTCATGGACCGGACTCGTTGGCTTAACTGAGGATAAACGAAGCTACTTAATTCCTCAGTCGCCTGCTGACTGCTCAATTTTTATTAGTTTTATGTAACAATTTCTAACTTTCTTTTTTTTTTTTTTTTGAAAATTACAATAGATACCTTTGTACTAGTACTGTTTGTCTCCCTCAAAAAAATTGCCATATTATTAATGAAATTTAATGTTAGGGTTAGTGTTAGGGTTAGGTGATAGTATAATTTAGGCCAAATCTGTTAGTGCTAGTTGTAGTGATGCAGTAAAGTACTATTTCATGTTACGACACAGATAATATTATGAATAATTCACAAATTATTTTGATGTCAATTAACCTTTTTTATTTACGATCAGTCTACATGTGAAAATAAATATAAAATTGTGAAAGAATTATCTATGTCGTAACTAGTTACGACAATTCTACTGCATCACTACTTTTTGTCTGTTGATAAAGATTTGATTATATGGATTCATTTTGTGGAATTTGGAAAAAGGGAAAGTAACGTAATCGCGTCTATTAGAAGTTATAAAAAATAATAATATATACTTTATATCATTAATAAATTTTAAATTTTGAAAAAAAAGTGGATAACAACTTTCACGAATAAAATCATCGGTACAAGTTAAAGTTGTTGGTTTTTTTTTTTTTTGATTTATTAATATATTATACATATTTTTTTCCAATTCATCTTTAATAACGATTAAAATTCTTATCGAAATTGGTTTGCTAAATAATTATCTAGCCGTTGATTTTTTTTTCATATATCCGATCTGCCAATTTAATTACATGCATATTGTTTTTTTTTACAATGATTCTTAAAATTTTTTTTTTTTCGAGAAAAAGAAATTCGAATTGTTCGCAAAAAATAAAAATTACGTTAATTTTTTTTTTTAAAAAGAAAAATCGATATTGTCCGTTTTTGCCAATTATTAAATTCTATTCAGCAACTATTACTTGTTTCTTCATTATCACATCAGAATAGTTATTCTCGTTTTTAGATGATGAGTCTTTTGAAACTAAAACTTCCAAAACATTTCTTAGATTAGTTATAAATCCTGTATCAGTGTTTACCACTTGTATCAGTTCTACTACATGTAACGATTCTTTTACTGCTATAAAATGTAACGTTACATATTCTGAGGACGAAGGATTTAAAGGACTATATTTGATAAGATCAGAGAAATAATATTAATAATTATTTACTAGAATTGAGAATTATATTAAATAAAATAATAAAAAAAACTTACCCTACTCGAACATTATTTTCCAGACAAACTATATCTGCATCTGGTGTTTCAACATCAAAGTATTTTTTTAAGTATTCTATTTAATTATAAAACATTTATTATAACGAATAAATTATAAAAACACTGAATTAGTAACAAAATATATATAGTAATTTTAAAATAGAAGTGTTAAAAAAAAGTACTATACCTGTTTCTTCCATAAAAGGTTCTATTTGGCTTGGAGGATTGCCATGTATTAAAATGTCAGTATGACCAACACTTGACAATTTTGAAGATTTTGAAGACTTTGATGATAATGATATTGGCGATAATATTCTGACTGCACTATTGGAATAATAAAATATGATTAAGAAAAGAAATAGAATTAAAAGAATAATGAAAAGGAAAAAGGAATAAATAATATCATACGATTCATTCGGTCTCTTTTTATTAGGAACTATAATCGCCAAGTTTTGGACGTGTGATGATTTGTTTACTATGTAAACTTGTATTGTGAACACCTGACCAACAATTATATTTGTATTTACTGGAAAAAAAAAATCACAAATTAGAAATCAATCGCGATAGAAAGAAAATTAATATCGAAATGAGAAAAAAAAAATTAACGAACCAAAAAATGACATGACCACACTATTTTCAATATTTGTGGTTGGAGATTTTGGTATCATTGTCCTTCCACCAGAAAGTATACCATTAACACTGTACAATGACTCATTATCATGCATTACATTTATTTGTTTATTTATATAACCATTCATCATTGCTGAATAGAAATTCCTTGAAACAGTTGGAGTCGTTATGCCCGTTGGCAAATATAAAGAACTTCTTGATGATATTGATGATGCACTTGATAGACTTCTAAATTTCGAAGTTAATGATAATGTTCGTTGATTCGACCGACTTAATTTATTAGGAGACAGCGAATCATCATTGTTTAACAAACTATTTAAATCTAGCGTGCAGCTCCATTCAGATTCTATACATGATATTTTCTCACCCTCGAATATGGGAGAGCCTTTTATTATTACGGAAAGTGATCGCTGTTGATCTTCTTCAGGAGGAGGAGGCGGTTCGAATGAAGTATTTGAAAAAATGGATGCTACCGAATTTCGACGCGACGATACGCAAGAATTTGGGCTTGGAGTAGGGCAGTGCTGTGGTGGATCAGTTTTAGGTAAGGGAGGTTTCTCGAGTACTGTGACGTTGTAAAGAAATGTGGCCTGATCGACCGGGTGTAACGTCATCGGGAATTCATCCTATGATAGTAAGCTTTTCTCAGTATTATGAATATTACGAATATTATGAAATAATCTTGAAAAAAAAAAAAGGATGTAAATACATACCACAGCCTCACTTTTATGTGTTAATTCATATTTAGTTACGAAGCCATGAGGAATATTCATTTTTATTGATTCCACAACAAATGAACCAGTTTTTTCGGCAGAATTATTAGCCAGTACAACGGAAACCAAAATGGTATTTTCCAATGGCGATACATTAGTAGTTCGTAACTGTACGCTTAACGCGGATTTAACATTTAGCATTTTGCGGCAACTACGTTTCACTGATTGCACAGCCGGATATATGCTTCGTTTTGGTTCATTACATATTCCTGGCAGACGTGTAGATGGTAGTCGAAATATTGCAGAATCACCAAATGCAGGATCTTTAGATAAACGAGAATGTTAATAGGGTTAATAAAGTTAATAGGGTTAATAGGGTTAATAGGATTAATTATAGTTTAAGTTATATAACTAACCATCATTTAGACCAGCTAATAAATTCATCTTGCCGAAATGATGCGCAGCATACGATTCGGATGTAGGAGGTATTATTTCATGTTTTGAAATGTCTTCGACTAAAGGTAACAACGATGTTGATACACTTAGAGACAATGCTGGACTATGAGCACGCGATTGTGCAAGGACTAAATATAATAAATATATAATTAGGCACTATTAGGTCTATTAGGTCTATCACAGTATTTGTATAAGAAAAAGATAGTGTTTTGGACGAAACCCAGTTTTTGCAGATCATTTGTAGATCCTGGAAGGTTTCGAATTTATAGTGCGAGACTGAAATTTTTTTTTGGAAAAAGTTTCGAATTTTGAAAATAGGTTCGTTCGAAACACTAGAAAAGACGCGAATATTATACTAACCTATAGGAGCGTTTAATGGAATGACACAATTCCAACAACCCTTACGCTTTGTAACCATCATACCTCGTTCGTCTAAGCTCAAGTTATAAGTGTTGGAATAAATAACAGTTCCTTCTGACGCTTTATTTAAATTTTTGTACATGGAAGAACAAGTAGGCGTTCCAGGTATTGAAGGAGAAGTAGTTGCCGAACTTGATCTCGATTTTCCCGATTTTCCCGGAGGATAACGATAAATAGATTGAGCAGGAGGAGCAGGCACAGATAAATTGCTCGCATCAACCATAGATGCTTCAACATTTATCTCTAATTGTTGAAAAAACGCCTTTGCTATAACCAAATCAGAAATACCGGAATCATGGGGAAGACTGATCAAGAGATAGAAACAAAGTTGCTCATCTTTATTGGATTTTGAATTTATATAAATTTTTAAAAAAGGAAAGCAATTTATAGTTAGAAAATCAAAGAGATATGATGATAAAGAAAAAAAAAAGAAAGATTTTTACCATAAAATGCGATAGTCCTAGACTTTTTATTAAATATAGTATCGATATTTTCTTCAGTAAATTTTATAATTCCATTTGGAACGATGATTTCCAAGGTTGCCAAGTTTAGTAGTGCCTCTCGAGATTTCATGATCGAATTTCAAATAGTTGAAAAAAAGTGAAAGATCCGATAAAAAAATAAAGTTTTTTAACGTAGGAGAATAAAAAGAGAAAAAAAAAAATTATAAAATACAAGATTATTAAAGCAATAAATAATGATGATATTTGATATTTTTCCGATAGTTTAGTGGGAATTTATTTGTTCTACACATGACACGTATATATGTATACAATATAAAATAATGCTTTTTGCAATAAAGTTGCGGGAAAGTCCTAATTTAAGCAGAAAAAAAAAATATAACAAAATATATAAGAGTTAAACTATATAAGCTGTACGCCAAAAAAGTATCTCATGACGAAATAACAACACTAAAATCATGTGTAGGGGTTATAAGCCATCTCGAACCAGTTCTAATATTCAAAGCCGCCTTTATGGAGTGCTTTTAAATTCCACACGATTTTCTAAAGAACCAACCGTATAAAGTTATTGATAAATTGATTGCGATGTTATCTGTCAAATTACTTTGAATGTCTATCGCAAGCGGTTGAACATGGATGTACGGCATAGCATACCGATGTCGTGATACCTGCAAACCAAAAAAAAAAAATACATAATGATGCATCTGTAGGTAAGTAAGTTTCTTATACGCCTTTATCGCGCCTTTTAATGGTAGGTAATTCTCGTAAAATTATCTATTTATGCTTGTTTGATTGTTTATTTTTTTTTCGTTCGTACAAATATATGCTAAGAAAATATTTAAACATTTTCGTAATAATATAGTAATACATTACATTATAAAAAATTCTCAGATCTAACGTACTTTGTCAACCATAACAATTAGGGTAACCATATAATATAAATTCATTGATTGTGTTAAGTGTACACCATCAAAGATTTATCTTCTTTCGAGCGTACATGCGTTTGCGCACGTCTAAAACACGTGCACGCACTTTAAATACTAATTTATCAAAAGACCCGAAAAACTTTGATGATCTATAACCTATACGGACTTGTTTTACGTAAAAAACAAGTAATCTATTGTAATTTTTCAATTTCATAATTTTTTTTTTAATTCTTAAATCATACATGAATAGAAAGTGAATAGAAGCGAAAATTTTCTAAAACCCATTTAGTAATGATCGGTTGATTATACACATTACAACATTGTCATGCAGATCTATAAACAAAACCAATCTAGTCAAAAATTGTTAGGAATATTTTTGATGTATCAGAATTTTTATTATCCGGATCGATTGGATCCACATCTGATTTGCCACATACTTATCTCAATGCGGTGTACGAACCAATGATCCTTAAAAAAATTTTTATTTTTATTTATTTAACTGAGGGTTTTTACCTGCCAATAAAAATTTACGTTCTCTGGTATTAGTGGTTATCGTTATTAAATGCTTAGATCTTTGGGTTACTATAGGAATCTTACAAAATTAAATATGCAAACCCTACTAATATAATTTATGTTTAAAAAAACTACGCTTCGAACTTTTAAATTGTGAATCGCATATATCATAATATTTCTAATAAAATTTAATAAAATTGCATATATTTTAATTTTATTGCGTCTTGAAAATTATTGTGTCGTGTCACTACGTAGAATATTATTAATTCTACTTTAATTGTCGTAATTCTTGGTCCGAATATGCTAGAAAATCTTATAATCTATTGTAATAATCTATTGCAATAATCTATTATATATATAATGAATTAAAAATTATTTTAATACTGTGTTATTGTAAATTATATAATTAATAACAATATACTATCACCCTTAAGCTGGTTTTTCTAAATATTCCCTGCATTCATTTGAAGTTAGATTATTATAAAGAGAATACCAATAATTTTGTAATTAGTCGATTAAATTAGGTAACAGACCCTTATTTAAAATTATACAAGTTCGCTTACCGGTAATTATGTAAAACTAGGTTTACTATTCGACAAATATTATTAGTTAGGTCAAAAAAAAAACCAAATCAATGATTCATTTGAAGCGAAAGAAATGTGTGTGTCATATGAATTCATATTATTCATATCGGCTTGGAACATTCATATAAGCATAATATTCCTAATGCATTTTTGATGAGATAATAATATTCATGATGCATTTGATGAGGTAAAAAAAAAAGAAAAGCTATTACGTCTGTATTATAATATACTATTGAAAATATACCGATTAGTAAGTTTTGTTCTCTTTATATGCTAAAATGAATAGCTTATCGTTTGTATGTACTTTACGTAACATTAAAATCTATTTACACTAATTTATGTCTAGTTTATCCTTATCTAATATATGCTCACCACTATCATCGCTTAAATCCGAAGAAATGTAAACCCTGGAATACGAACATGCAGGAAAAGCTTTACATTGTCCATTATGCGTTGTGTAATCTAACCATGTGTCTAAAGAAGGAAAAGAAGGATAAAAAAAATTTTTTGAAACATAATAATAATAATAATACTGTAATAATAAAGTAGATGTAAAATATGGTTTGTTATGTTATTTATACGTACTTTTAAGAACGTTAATGTTTAGGTGTCTGGATTAATTAATAACGATTTATTTATTTATTATTCATTTCATTTATTCATTTATTTATCAGTATACAGTATACTGTATTTATTTATTATAAATAATTATATGATTTGTGTTATTGCTTAAATTATAATGATCCAATTAAAAAGGCCAGTCTAATGGTAGATAAAGTAAGAATTAATATCCAAAGCGTAATTATAATCACTTTCCTTCCAGAAGTGTCAGGTAGTAAAATTCGTTTGGATTGTATAACACTGGTGCAATGAGTATCAAAATAAATATAAAGTGCATAGCATGGAAACGCAATACTGTATGATAACAAGTAAATGATATAACTATTAAAATATTAAATATGAAATAAAATTAGCTTTAAAAACACTTTTTAAAATAACTTAAATAATTTTTATAATTTAATGTTTAAAAAAAAAAAAAAAATACGAATAACTTACGCTCGTCCATCCCCTGAAAGAATTATTGTAAAAGCATTTCCAATAATATGAACAAATGAAGCAAAGATCAACAATAAAAGTTGATCCGGATGGTCAATAAGTTTTGGTGAAATACTTGATGCATCATCCGATGGTAAATGTTCTTCATCATTTGCTAAAGGAAGTAAAGCTGCTGTTTGTTCTCGAACATAATCTCGCGTAGCCAAGTATATGCGCGTAAAGATAATACACATTGCATAACTTAAATACATTCCTGAAATTATTAATGACATCCTGGTGTTAGGATAATTATATAACGTTATATATATATCCATTCAATTTTTTTTTTCATTTTACCTTGTGCTTTAAACCAAATCGCATCATATGGCCAAGTTAAAGAAATATTTAATAATATCACTGTGAATAGATAACCTCCTACTGCCGCATAAAAATAATTTGTTGTAATTTTCCCTCCTTGATATAATAATAATAATATACCAACTTCAAAAATATTATGTAATATGGAAAATGTTGAAAACAGTTTTCCAAAATCTAAAATGAAAAAAGCGACTCCACAAATTGCTGCCATGGAAATATAATAAGCGATAAAATTATTAAAATGATTTGCTGGTATTCTACTTCCATTTTCTTGGTAAATATATGTAACGAACTTTTTGGGTAAGTCTTTTTTAGATACCCAAATAATTGTATAAATTGATGCCGTGATATTTGTGATAATGAAGAACCAATTTGCTGTATCGAATGCTTCAGAGTAAAAATCTATCGAAAAATAATTATAATATTTAATATATATATATATATTGTTATTAATATTTTAATAGCAGTTTTACCACAGAATCCCGACATCCAAAATCCCGACACAATATCCCGACATTCTAATCCCGATAGTACAAAATCCCATCAAGTTAAAATCCAGAAAATTACCAAAAATCGTTTGGTATTGTTGGGATTTTAACTCGACAGGATTTTGTACTATCGGGATTGAGTGTCGGGATTTTATGTCGGGATTTTGGATGTTGAGGTTCTGTGGTAAAACCTTTTATAGGTATGCCTTTTTATTAAATCAATGTGAAATGATATATATTATAAATACGTTGAAGTTTTCCATGCCAGGTTGGATACCCTGTGAAACGAGACGCTACTTGTAGAGGAATGTCAGGTGTTGGAAAGGTAAAAAAGGATAGAAGGATAGCAGTAGTAATCAAAATATTAACGAATATCGTGGCACACCCTCTCAGAACCATTTTTCGTTTCGAAAAAAAGGGACTGATTAAGGTTTATAAATTATATATGCTTTAATGTAACACTCGTCATTTTTGTTTAACAAAATGACGAGGTTACACTAAAGCATATATATCCTAAACAGGGCAAACCCCAAATTCCTGGTCAGAATGCATCGGGACACTGGTCGGAAGGGCCGGAATTGATCGATCAAAAAATTTTACTAATGAAATCATAGTCGTTCATTAAATAAAAAGATAATTTTACTATAGCTCCTGGTAACCAATATAATTCATTCCACCAAGAATTTCGGGGATTGCCCTGTATAAAATCATAACTTATAATCCCTTTTTTTCGAAACGAAAAATGGTTCTGAGAGGGTGTGCCACGATATTCGTTAAAACTTTGATTATTACTGTTATACTTCTATCCGACATTCCTCTACAAGTAGCGGCTCGTTTCACGTAGTATCCAACTTGGCATGTAATTTTCCAAATTTTGGGTCATAATGCATCGGAATTAGGGTTAGAGTTAGCTATACTGGTTAGCAGAAGCTATAATAAAATTATTAGCTGGACACTTTTTACTTAGTGAACGACTATGGTTTCATTAGTAAAATTTTTTAGTGATCTTGGGCAAAATTGATCAATTCCGGCTTATCCGGCAGGCATTCCAAGCTGGAATTTTGGGGATCTCCTTGTAGGAGTTTATTTTTTTCTAATATATATGTTGTGCCCCAGATGTTAATTTGTTCCAAATGTCAATTTGCCAAAATTATCAGCCTAAACAAATTAATTTAGGCAGGGCGTTTAACTAAATTTTAGTAAATTGACATCTGGACCGTCCCAATTGACAATTGGGACAATATATCATTTTCACATTGATTTAATAAAAAGGCGTACTATTAAAATATTAATAACAATACATTAATACAGTATTATATTTATTTTTCGATAGATTTTTACTCTGAATCATTCGATACAGCAAATTGGTCACAAATGTTACTGCATATTATTTGGGTATCAGTTCGTTACATATCATATATATTATTTATCAAGAAGATGGAAGTAGAATATCAGCAAATCATTTTAATAATTTTATCGCTTATTATATTTCCATGACAGCAATTAGGAATCGTTTTTTCATTTTAGATTTTGGAAAATTATTTTCAACAATCCATATGATCATATGATTATTAACCAATCGAATTGAAAGCTTTATGGTGAAAGATTATCGAATTTTGAAAATCACAATAATTATTTAAAAAATATAAAGTTTTTTAATATAGTTAGAAAAATCATGATAAAGGGTCATTCAAATGTAATTTGTTTTATCATAGCAATAGCGAAAGTAATGACAAGTTAAAAAATATCAAGTTTAAAACAAGTAAATATTTTTTAATTGTGTAATAAAGGTATGATTTTTTTTTTAAGAAAGTTTCTATAGACCATGACCCGCCGGGGTCAACCATTTTTTCTAACCGGGTACCGAAACTAAAACCGGTTACCCGACTAAAATGGGTTACCCGGATACCCGATTATGAATTCATGAAGGATGGTTGCTGACTAGTCAAATCACTGAAGATCCTGATGAAATAAAAATTAGAGTGGTAATATAATTTACCCACTATTGGTGAAATTGGTGAAATTAATTTCACCAGCATACCTAACCTCGACGATTATAAATATCAGGTCAACGGGTGACCTGTTCATTAACGGATGACCTCTATCATATTAAACCGATTCGTCAAAAACATGACCCGGTAAGTAATTTTTTCAGGTCAGGTCATCGGGTACACGTCAGATGTTGGAACCCTAAGTGAACATCCTAGTCAAAAAAGAAGTTCCAAAGGATTTGATTAAGCATTTTCTTTTACAAATATTCCTCTTGAAAAATTTAATAGCTTAATTCCATTTTTTAAAAACATCTTAAAGAGGTGGCGTACGCTTCGTCAATTATATTCGCTAACCGTCTTTGAGCGTCATATTACTTCAAAATTTTTTTAATCTAAAACCTGTAGCAATTATAATGGATGAAACTACAGATGACTGTTCGCGTAGTGTAGTAAATACTTGTTTTTCGCCAAACTACTAAATTAGTTTTAGTTGATTTTTTTAGAAAGTGTAATAATCCAATTGGAGGCGTTCTATTAACTATTTTGGTTAAATATAATATTCCTTTACCAAAAATATTTTTATCCGATTCTGCGAATATTATCGTGAAATATTTAAAACCCGTATGGTTCACACACCTTGTTGCACACATATTATTAATCTTATAGGGTAAATACAAATTTGAGTATTTTAATTTTATTTTAGAGTATACTATATATATATATATAATTATCTTCTAAAAGTTCTAATCAAAAATCAGAGTCATTTACGAACTCACCTGCACGTAAAGGTCGTTATTTAAATCATTTCAAGATGCACGGAATTAGAAATCCAGGTAAAATTCCATTACCAAATAAGACACGATGGAATTCGTGGTTCAAAATGGTATTTTATGTTAAAGATCATATTGAATATTGGGCTTCTTTTTATTTAATATGAAA